TTTTTTTCTTTCATGTTCAATGGTTTGTAATAGTAGAGAACATAATATAATATGTGGGTGCAGTGTTTACTTTGCCGGGTTACTTTTATATACCTGGATTCTAAGTTAAACTCTACTGTAACAGTAACTATCATTTCTTCTTTTTTTAGATGGTCTTTTAAGGTTTGATCATGTGTACATAACTTAGTTGTTTCCAAGATACACTCAGATTCTTAAATCTTGGCTACAAAACTTAGTCTATCTCTTGTATCTATATAATGAAAAAGAGATTCATTCAAACAAATTTATTTCTCCTCTGATGCCAATTTTATATGATGTTTATATCAGACATTATACATGTAATACTTCACTTTAAACATTGTATGCAAAGTCCATCAAAACTCCATTTCACAAAATTCGGACACCCAACTTAACTCTTTAGCATCAATACAAGATTTGGAACACGATATTAATCCAGAACATTGGAGAGCTACTTTGTGTGGACAACGCTTCTTGCAAAAGGAGCAAATAGGTCGAGACATATGATGATTGTTGGACATAACATCTATATGGTTAGCGCCGTCGGACAATAATATACCGGGCTTCAAGGATAAGTCCCCCCCAAACAAACACTGAATGTGTAGGGTGACACAACAGTAATCATCACACACATAAAACTGCTCCTTTGGATTTATTTTTCCCTCGCAAACTTCACACCAATACGTCGTGGTAATTGTCTCATCCCCATAAGAAAGAGTGAGCATATGCTTATCATACTTATACCTCACCTTATGAGGTAATGTAGGACATTTGAAACACAAAGCGAAGTAGTCACACTCAATGCAATTGAATGTTTCATTTCTGGAAAGATTTACTAGCTCTTTGCAAACCGAACAACTTCTTTGCTTCTCTCCCGGTTTGGATGTTAGGAATAAAGGATGCGAATGACTTGGATGGACTAGCGGCTCAGAAATTGTGGCGCACTGCACGTGTAGCATAAAACGACATCCTTCTTTGCTGCACTCATAGAAGAAACCAGCTTTGCACACCCAAGGACAAGCAGAACATGTATCTGATAGTCCATAACACCGTCATATCCGCCCACTAGAGTGAGTAGATGTGGATGTATCGGGTGATGTATTTTGCGAGAAAGTTTTGCACATTCTTCGTGGAGAATGAAATCACATTGCATACATGAGTAAAAGTTACCGATATAGACGGGAATGATGCACGCTTGACACATCTTATTCTGGTCGTAATCTCTGGTCGTGTTATCATCAAGTCTCAAATGATGATGTTGATGACTGAAATGTTGTATGATTCCATCACTTATCGTCACAAACGGCTCAACTTCTTCATCTTCAACTTCTTGGGGCTCTCCCTCAAGTTCTACACCATCCCACACATTGCTTTGTGTGGCACATTTCGAATGAGCCACATACGAACAGCCGTCATTGATACAAGAATAGCTCCCGTAATCATTGTTGATCTTTCAGCGAGAAACACCACAAAACCAGTTTCCTTGGACAAAAGAAGGAGTAAAAGAGATACGATGGTGATGTCGTGATATTTTGATGACATGTGGTAAGCTGAAACACCTTTGATGGAACACAAAGTCACAAGGGGGACATATATGCAAAGGAAAACTTGAATGTGTCAAGGCACAAAGGCTGCAAGTTAAAGAAGCCTGACTTGGAAACAGAGCAAGTGTATGCTCATGCCACTTCGGATGGTCTATAGACAAGACTGGTGGTTTCTTCGCACAGAAAAAATTAATAGCATAATCGCAAGCCAAGCAACAATAAAATATACCTCCGAGGTATTTATCACAACAATAGCATTCCCTAGTTATAAGGCTCCCTCTTGAAAAGACAAGCTTAAGTAGATGCTTCGGATGAAGTGGAGCCTTGTTATATTCTTTATGGTTTTCGCATTGCAAGCTTCGCAGAAAAAGTGCGTATAGCCTTCTGCTCCTGGTTGCCTAATTTTTTGCCAATTTAACGGAAGACACGTCCACTTGTTATTCGTGGGCCGCAAGACTTCTTCAATCACATGAATAATTCCTTCTTTAAAAGTTACTTGTGCGTGAGGGCAAAGTGAAGTGAGCTTCTTCAACTTTGAATTCTTTGAGATGGCAAGGGAGAATATTTTACGAACGAGTGATATGAGCTTCGTCGGTTTGGGTTCGAGACTCATTGTTTCAGCAACAAGAAACATAAGTTTTGAATGTATAGGGAATTTTTGAGAAATGAGGTCCATCTCCGGCGTGAGACTCCCTGGAGGTCCTTGAACATGTATGCTCACAGACATTTTTCTTTGTTTGAGTTCTATATTATTACCCTGTAGCTTGTGGATCTTGTATTTTTATATATGCATATTGGTATACCGCGGGCCTATATTTTTATTAAATAAAAATTAAAAATTTAATTTTTTTAAGATTATTTACACATAATCTACTGTTTTGTTTGATACATATAACGCTTAGTATGTTTTAAGTTTTCAATTTTAAAATATAGTAATTAAATAAAAACATACAGTTAATTAAGCAACACTATATAACGGATTTAAATATGAATATATTTTATTTTTTGTATTTTAGAGATTGACCCGTGGTACACCGCGGGTCAATTTTTTATAACTAAAAGATTGAAATTGTAAGTTGTATTTATTTTGTTAATACTTTTTGTTTTTTAGTATTTAAGATTGTACACATTATTGTATTTTGATTGTTAATTCTTAAATTTCATCCGAAGTATACCGTCCCGTATTAATATTTAACCAAACCCGTCCCACCATATAATCATGTCCCGTGATATTAAACATCATTTTGTTATTTTTAATAATATTTTATTTATAAAAAACATATAATTCGAATCAATTTAAAAGTTTGCTTTAAATGGTTTCTATATATATATATATAATTTTTTTATTGTTATAGAGTACAAATATTATAAACTTTTTATAGCATTTAAATATTATAAATACTTTAAACGTTTATAAAGTTTAAATATTTATAATGTTTAAAGTTCTTATAATTTTTTATAAAGTGCAAATATTTATAATAATTGAAACTTCATAAAAGTTCTAATATTATAAAGATTTAAAACGTTTTATAAAGTTTAACTTTTTAAATATCTCTAAAAATCTTAACAATATATGTTATGTTAGGTAAGAAAAGCTAGTAATTAGGAAGCATCTATTTATTAATTTTCAAAGTGACGAATTGTTATAGAAACATCATTGATTAGTTACAATATTTGTTAAGATTAGTTACAATATTTGTTAAGATATGTATTTCATAAAATTCTTTGAATTTTTTTTTTAATATCTGTAAACCCGTATGACCCATTGACCCGTTTTATAATGAATTGGTTAATGTGAGTGACGTGGAATAAATATGGTTATAATTAGATATTTGTAATGACATATATTGTAATTTCTTACAAAACTCAATGTTACAACTTATAGATGTACTTCCCAAATAATAGTATAGGATTTTAAGACAATTAAATCATGAGATCATCTCAAGTTTACAGGTTGTTTGAACACAAAGTCAACGATGGATTCAAAGATTGGAGATCAAAATTCATTAATATTACATTTTATATTAGAATTTTGTTACACTCTTCTATCCTCAGTCGATTAACTCGCCTGATTCAACAACAATAGACAGAAAGAAGTACACCGATTTAACTAGTTCCCCTCGAACAAAGGGTACATCTCGCGCCAAGACCACCCTTCACAAATATCCATGCACTAATAAATTACAAAAGAGATTTCAAGTGTTTAAACGAAGAGTGCTAATTCTCTCAGAACCCTCAGATAAAGAACCCTAATCTGAGAACCAACTAGAAAACTACAAAAGAAGAAGATCCTAGAAAGAACTTTATATGTCTTGTTCTGTTTTGTTTATAGTGGCAAAAACTTTACAATAGCCGCAAACTCAACTGTATTTAAATTGTATTCAAATTAGGTAATTCAGTTTTGTTCGTTAAACCTTAAAACTCATGGTTTGCATCTTTTAGACATCTTCCAGTTTTGGTTAAAATCTGTAAGACCGAAATGTTCGGAATGAACTGATTTTCGTAATCTTCCTATTTGATTGAGGCTTACTTTTTCTTCTTTTGTCTATCAAGTTTTTACAAAACTTTATATAATAAGATACACATGTAATTTATCATTAAATGTTAAATTGAGTAAAATATTTTAGTTGTAAAATCAAGATACTGTACTACAAAATTTAGGGAGATATATATTATTTTCCAAATATCTCTAAAATTATAAAATGAAATATCCTTATATATATATATATATATATATATATATATATATACCTCCGAGGTATTTATCACAACAATAATCGCAAGCCAAGCAACAATAAAATATACCTCCGAGGTTTTTATCACAACAATAGCATTCCCTGGTTTTAAGGCTCTCTCTTGAAGAGACAAGCTTAAGTAGATGCTTCGATGAAGAGGGTGTTTGATCTCAAGTGGAGCCTTATAACCAGGGAATGCTATTGTTGTGCATAAAAAAAACTGACCTAAAAAAAGAAATTTTTTATAAAATAATATACTTTTTCAAAAAGAATTTTAGATAAATACCAATTCCTTTATATATCCAGTAATAACCAAAAATGTTAACCAAAATTCAGATCTAACTAATTGGTATTCAAATATGAATATATAATTTGCAAATTTATTTAAGAATTCAGAAAATGATATTTAATATTTAAGCATCTACTTTACTTATATTTGAGACTCTTCAAATCTTTTGTGCACAACATATTAAATTCATAAATAAAATGTTAAAGTGGACTTCCAAAAATAAGACATGACATTAAAAGTCATTGACTATATAGAGTGGACAATCAATTTAAATATTTTACTTTTCTAATTATCTAGGTAACCTTTTAAATATGTAAATTATAAAAATCAACAAATGTCACAAACATGATATGCATTTAAGTTAAGTTAATAATGAGATAATATATATTTATTGACTAAATCTCACGATGGAACCATTTAAAACTCCATATCTCCATCTATTTATAATAACTCTTACCATCAATAAATATCAAAAAACACAAAACTCAAACCTCAATTATTCTTAAAACTAAAAAAAAAAAAAAAAAAAAAAATTGTAATCGAACAGAAAATTGTTAGGATTCCAAGACATGAAGTTTACAACATTGACACTGCTCGTGCTGGTGATAGCAATCGAATTGTCTCCAACGTTGATCAGAGCCACGATGGTTGAAGGTCCGACCGGAGATCAGAAAGTGACATGCAATGTACTTGATGTTATGATACCATGTTTACTACCGTTAACCAATAAACTGATTATGCCGACTCCACATTGTTGTCAAAGTAATGAGAGAACACGAAACGTGTTTGTGTCAATTCATAAAAGGCGGCGAGTGGTGGTCACAAGCACTTTTCAATTCTCCAAATGGTCAAAAAACTTGTAAAGCTTGTAATATTCCTTATCCTAAATGTTGAACCTCATGATGTCTAGAAATAGTTTTATTAATAATTATTGAGTGGATTTTTTATTATGTTATAGTTTATGATGGTTCAACATAATCTTAATTTGTTAAAAACATACATAACCATCTATACTATATAAAAGTCGACGGTATAAGCTTCTGAGGCCGTCCACATAGGATTTTAAAAGACCAATTGTGAATAGACATCTCATTAATTAACATTTTTTAGCCATTACTTTAATTAACATTTTTAAATTCTACTATTATAATAATAATAAGATATTTATGAAAAGGTAAAAAAAAACATATGGAAATAAGAAAATGTAAAATTCAATTATTGTAATATAAGAAATAATATCATTATTAGTCTCAATATGTTAGCTTCCAAATAATATAATTAATTGAAATTGGAAAAAAAATTCGAATATAAGAAGAATAACAAAAATGTATTACAAAACAACTAAGAATAAAATTTTCCAAAAGTCTGAGAATGTTAAAGTTTAAACGAAAAGGAAAAATTAATGACGTAAAAGAAAACTTCTTCTTAACAAACAAGGAAAATAATAAAGCCCTAAATTCTAAAACAGTGGTCTATATATAAATAACCATCTATGGACCATTGATCGTTGAAAGTTCAAACGAAAAATTTATTGACTTACTATGACACATACAACTTCTCCACCTTCAACTACCTCTTGACGAGCTTGAAAAAGGCTTTTACTAACAAGGAATGGAAGGAATTTTTGAAGAAGAAATATGGAGCCTATGAAAAGTTTGAAATATGGACAAAATCATAAGAGGATGGAAAGAGACAACGTATGTGAAAGATTTTTTCACAAGAATGTGAAGTGAAGAGGGATTAAGGTGTGTATGGTCTATGAATTTTTTAAGAAGAAATATGGAGCCTATGAAAAGTTTGGAAGGTAGGGCACATACTCCTTAGACAAAATCATAAGAGGATGGAAAGAGACACCGTATGTGAAATATTTTTACACAAGAAGGTGAAGTGAAGAGGGATTAATGTGTGTCTGGTCTGTGAAGCGTTAAAGCAACGATGACATGAATGTGTTGACGATAACACGATGGCAGCAACCACAAAGAAAAACGTAACAGTCACGAATGACTGCCACAATTACGATTGCTTGCTAAATTAAATAATTTTAATCTTAGTTTTTTCGAAAATTTAGTTGCTTTTTAGAATTTAATAATTAATATGTAATTTCCACCTTTGCTTTTACTTCCACATATTTGTAGCTTTGTTTTTCCTTCCGTATGTTTGATGCCGAATTTCATTTCATTGACTTATAATTAGGCCTGGGAAAAAAAACCGATAACCGAATAACAAACCAAACCGAACCGAACCGAACCAAATAAAATCCGAACCGGAATTTTCAAAATAACCGAATGGTTAGTAAAATCCCCTATCCAACTAACCGAAACCTAACCAAACTAATAACCAAACGGCTAACTGAAATATCTAAAAATTTAGAAAATATCCAAAAATAATACTTAAAACTATAATTATAAACTCAAATATTAATTATTTTTAGAATCAAAACAATCAAATACCTTTAGTAATCAACATATCCAAATGTTGATAGTTATATTTGTCAAATTTAAATACTCTCTTACAAAATTGAACCAAATTTTAATTTTCTTTCTAATTTTTTCCTTTTTATTGTATTTTCTTCGGTTAATTTTGGTTAGTTTCGGTTATATTTGGTTAATTTTGGTTAGATAAAAACCAAACCGAATCTTTTAAAATTTCGGTTAGTTATAGATATCTATCTAAACATCTGAACCAAAGCGAACAAAAAGGTAACCGAACTGATCCGATCCGAACTGAAATTCCTAAAATATCCAAATAGTTATTATTTACCATATATCCAAACTAATCGAAACCAATCACAACCGAACCAAAACCTAACGGTTAAACGAATGCCTAGGCTTAACTTATATAATACGTAATGTCCTACTTTGTTTTTAATTCATATTTGTAGCTTGGTGCCAATTCCCATTTCATTGACTTCACATGATTGGTGTAAGTTAAGAATAAAGAGTCTTAATGTGTCCGAAAAATTATTGAAACCAAGATTGTCTAATAGAAAAAATAGCATACAGTAGAACCTCTATAAATTAATACTCGATAAATTAATAAACACGATAAATTAATAAATTTAGCTGGTCCCGAGTCGGGCTAGTGTAAAAATTAACCAAATTCGATAAGATAATAAGATAATAAGTATTTTGAAATTCCTATGTAAAAATATAGTCCCAATAAAATCATAAATTAATAATAATGTAAATTTGCACATATATATATAATAGTTTTAGTGTTTTTCATAAAAATAGCTAAAAGTTTTAGTAAGTTTTCAAATTTTGAATATGCATAATTTTTGTTTTAATAGTCATATATGTTTTTAGAATACAACAATGGATGTCACTATTTGTCAATTTTAATGTGTGTATATCGTTTGTATATGTGAATTCTATAATCGTTGTTATTTATTTTCAAAAGAAATTATTTTTCTTCGAAATATTAAGTGTTTAAGGCTAAAACTATAAAATTTATAACATCCAAAACATTAATCTTATTTAAATCACATTGCTTAAACTCGTATTTTTTTTTAAAAAAATTCACAATTAAAACAAAATTTTCTATAAATTAATAAATATTAATTTATGGTATAAATTAATAATTATTAATTTATAGATAAATTAATATCACTATAAATTAATAAAATATCAGGGTCCCAACATTAATAATTTATAGAGGTTTTACTGTATAATAATTTTAAATGAAAAATATTAATTTAATAATTGATCTCATTACAAAAATGAGAAAATTTATTGAGCTTTAAAAAAGGAAACAAAAAACATTCACATAAATACAAATTAAAAAGGAAAACTATTGTAAATTCGTGGTTTAACACCATGACAATTGATATATTAAAACAATCGATAAAAATCGAAGCTATAAGCTCTTCAGGCCATCGTGGGATTTAAAACTACCAATCGTGACTAGCCATCTCCATTATTAACATTTTTAGCCATCACGTTAATTAACATTTTTAAATGCTAATATTTTCTATACTAAAATATTAATAAAAAAGAAAAGAAAAAATAATATATAGAAAAAAGAGAAATGTGAATTTTTGAAAAAACAACATATAGAAATAAGACAAATGTAAAGTATAGATTTCAATACTATCTTTAGTTACATTTCACCAAAATTTATTTTATTAATAAATGTTGATGCAATATTTTCCAAATTAAAAGGTCATATAATAAGATCGATTAATATCTTTTAAGAAATAGAAATATTTTTTAAAATTTTTTTTAAGAAGATAGTGATTAAAAATATTAAAAATGTTTTATTTTCTTTATTTTTACTTAAATTTCGTCGAAGAATATTAATCGCAAAATCTTTGACCGCCTCTTTTTTCTGACCATATATCTTTCATAAAATTAAGGAAATAGTTTTTAAATAAGCTGATAATGATGTGTATATATAGAAAAATAATTAATTTTTTCTTATAGATATCGTCGGTTTTTAAAAAAGATCATAAAATTAAGCTCATGTCAAGCTACTGCGTTTTAAAACTTTTAGGATAGTTAGTGGCGATATAAACTTATCACCGGCAAGCTTTCTTAAAAGAAAATTAGTCGGTAGGTTTGTAAAAACGTGCATGTGCTGTCGTTTCATGGTAAGAAAAACCACACACAAATTTTAAGTAGAAAATGAAAATAAAAAAGAGACGACATTTATTTTATTAGAGCAGAAAGAGTGCTTGAAAAAAGATAGAAAGAGTGATAGCTCTCCGAAAAAATTATGAAAACGGAAATTCATATACATATTGAAAAGAATGTGAGAAAAAAATGAGTTGTTAAAAAGAAAGTACAGATAAACTTATGCGTATACTTCTATATAAATTCTTATCTTTAGAAGAACTATACTAAATAATACCGTAAAGATAGACGAAGAGCAATAGTGAATTTGCAAATACCAAAATGAGAAAGTCGTCGAAGTTAGTCCCCATACAATGCCTTTGGTCTTGCAGTTGGGTTTCCCCGCCTAGAGCCAATTCATGAGATTCAATCAAAACATTGTACGTAAAAAAACTCGGTCATCCAAAATATCCAAAGCTAAAGAGAGAGCTATTAAACAAAAAAAATATGTTATTTTGATAAATGTTGTAAGAACCTAAAAGTTGTATAATAGTTTTTTTTAGTTGTGTATTTAAATTAAACTATTTGTCATGGTAATTTTAAAATTCACCAAATTTAAGCTATTATTAACAATAAGTAGACATATAAAAACATATATTTCAAAATTTTCAATAAATATTATTAGTCACACAAAAATTTACTAAGAATTCTAAAAATAGACCCACGCGTAGCGTGGATTCATCACCTAGTCATTATAAGAAAGATTTATAGTCATAAACCGAGACGGTTGCTATTGTCTCTAGATCTCGCAAATGCCGGTTTGTGAAGTGATTGAGGGATATCGGTCTATGAGCATCATTACTGCGTTCGACTTGCCTCGCCGGCCAACCGGTTATCTCATTTCTGTTTCCCGGTTTAGGTTGTAGCACAATTTAGTTACTTTTTATTTAAAGCAAACAATTACCAAAAAAAAAAATAGTCAACAATGGATGTTGAGATGGAGATCTGAATTCATTAATATTACAAGGGCAAATTATAAAGAAAGGAGTTTTTCTAAAAAATTGTCCTTATATGTATTTAGATTAAAGATTGGTAACATATAATTTATTATAATTAAAATCCCATTATACTTTCAATCTCAAAAATAAATCATGCAAAATGATTGGAATTTTTAAAATCAATTTGATGATTTCTCTATTTAAAAAAAAGTTAGAGAAAAAAGAAAACTCGACATTACTTTCTTTCTTCCTCTCGTTCCACCGTCAAACTTTCCCGCAGACTCAATCTATTCTTTTTCTTCAAATCTCATCCTCAATCTCTTATTTTTCAAATCCCAGCCTCAATTTCTTATCCAAATCTAATGTTAATCGAAGCGACAAATCCAAGAGTAAGGAAGCGAGGATTCAATAAGGTTGGTTGGAAGTTACTTGTGTGTCGTGTTATTGTATGAAATTCTGGTCAAATTTTTAGTTGATGAGCTTGATCACTTTCTTTATTATACAGTTCAGTTTCTTTTTTTTTAAAAAAAAAGAAATTCTAAATTACATAGAATTTATTTTCTAATTTTCGTAGAATATCATATAAAATATAAGAATACATTTTTTAACAATCTTAGAACGTAAACTAAAGGTTAGACAATGTTTTATAACTTTGGTATAACATAGAATAAATTATTTAATATGTATTCTAAATTTCGTAGAAATATGAAATCGTAGAACATAAATGATTTCTAGATTTTTTTTTAGATTATGTAGAGTGTATAGATCACACTCTACATTTCACAAATTACGGGTATAGAACACTATGATTCGCACTCGAGATTTACCCGTTGATGGCATAAATCTCTTTAATTGTAGTTGAATCCACTAATATCTTCAAGACAATCCAAATGCATTGAGAAAGCATACTATAATACCAATCCGCTAGTGTATACACCATCTTTACCAATTAGGAATTGTCTGTTGCAATGTTATCGTCGTTTGTTAATTTTTTTGTACAAGCATATACATTATGATCCATATTAGTAGGGCTGTGACTTTGAGCCGATCAGTTTATTCGGTTTCGGTTTCTCGTTTTTTTCGGGTTATTCGGAAAATAAAACTTATTCCGAATCGAACCGACTAATACTTCGGTTCGGTTTGGTTCGGATACGGTTTATTCGATTTTGGCATTTCGGTTATCTCGGTTTTTGCACTTAGGTCATTGGAGAAAGAAGCTGTTGCAAGAGGGCGGATCTGTCGTTCGTGAAGCATCTATCTCCGATCCGACAGAGGATGCGAGAGGACGAATTTGCCCTTCCCGGCAACTCTCACACTCGCTGCACTCACATGCCGCTCTCCTTGAATCCCTCGACGCCGTCAACGCCAACCTCGACACAGTGCAAAAGATCGAGAGGTTTTTAATAATCCACGAGAAGATGAATCGAGGAAGACTAAGAATCGGAGAAGAAAAATCAAAGAAGAAGAAGAAAATAAGGAGAAGAAGAATTAGAGAAGAATAATTGAAGAAGAAGAAGGAGAAATGAAAAATCAAAGAAGAAGAGGAGTAGTCAGGCGTCAGCTAGAGTTATTAGGTTAGGTCAGGTGTTTTTATTTATTCGGTTAACCGTTCGGTTCGAGCGAACTGAATCGAAAATCTCGGTTAACCGAAATAATTTCAAATATATTCCAATCGGTTTTGTTTAACTAATAGGAACCGAACCGATTTGCCCAGTTCGGACAAATCGGTTCGGTTTAGAATCCCAGGCCTCCATATTAATGATTCTAATTTTGAGTGTAGTGAGGGAGAGGCTAGTACATTTCTAGCCCCCATATTTAATCTTTACTTCGTTTTGGAAACAAAACTAGCCTAAACTAGAAAGGAATCTATAGTCATCGAATAAGCATTTATATAACACCTATTTCCTAAAAACCCGTAGACAAAGAATGTGGTGTGAGAGTATGGGTTTCCAGCCGTTGATCTCTAACTTGTGCCAATTTTCACAATTCTGCTTTGCTCTAGTGGGTATTTATCTTGATTATTATGCAATTTATTTTTTTATAGCTTTTCATATATGTCACAAATTTATGGGAAACTCCTTACCGTAATTGCCGTTGGTAATCTCAAAAAAAAGTAAAATAGATTAAAGAAGATTGTTGTGGCTGAAAAAACCATATGGGATGAAATCTTAGAAATGGCCCACGTTTTTAATGCTTGGGGGCATTCCCAAAAAGTATGATTAACTGTCTCTTAATTCTCTCCACATCGAGCACATTCAAATTTTCAAGTGAGTCTTCTATGCTTAGAAATTCAAATTAACTGCGAAATAGGGAAATAGCCCATTATTGCTTGCCATATAAAATGTCTTATATTTTAGGGGACATTTTAACTTTCAAGAGTGCGTTTGGAGTGCTCGATGATTTCTTTAACTATATTCATGTTCTACAATAGTCAGTCCAAATTGATATAATTTAACATTAGATTAAAAAAAAAAAAAAAATAGTCAGTCCAAGTTGATATGGAGGAATTCATAACATCTCTTTTAATCATACCAATTTTTAACCAGAGAGTAAGCCGAAGTCTTACTAGTACTATACTGAAGAAATCTTTTGGAAAGTAAAAAACAATCATGAGAAAACACAAATATTTGACGTGCCATTGTATCAATATTTGTTTTTGTTATTGGTCATGGTACTTTGATTAAGAGCAACTTTGATTCTATTAATTAATTCATGTTAAGAAAATTATGTTTCTTCAAAAAAAAAAAAAGTTATGCAAACGTAAATAAGAAACTTGAAAAGCCTAAAAAAAGGAAGAATCTCTCGCTCCACTCATTGCTCCAACATATAAAGCCTCAAAAACGATGAATCTCTCTCTCCACTCATTTGCCATTGCTCCAATATATGTATAGCTAGTTAGGGTTCTTCTCATCAACAAAAACTTCTGTAGATGCACGAGAAAGCACACGAAAGTGAAGCCTCGAAGCAAAACGATCCCAAAACAGTCCAATTTGGTCGCCTTTTCTCAAACCTCTCCTACGGATAAAATACATTCGCCACCCTCCGTTTAAAACATAACTATTCAACGTTGTCCATCTCTTTAGAATCAGCTCGAACGTAGAGTCAGTGTCGTGGTCGTACACATCGACCGTGATTCCTAACCCTTGTTGGACGTTATTTTTGTCATCATTGTTTAGATATTTGATAATGTGATCCTCAATGGGACCAGTATGAAGAAGAAGACGGCTAAGTTGGCCAAGATCGCTATTTGTTAATTCTTTCTTGATGATCCATGGATCTTTGAAGAGTGTTAGTTCTGTTGAAACACCGTACCATTCTTCCTCTGCCTTTTCTTCGTTCGAGAGGTTCCTCATTCGTTTAATCTTTCTTTCTTCATTGGTTGATTTTTCGTCGCTTGGTCTGCAAGAAACCTTGGGATCATCATTAGTGTTCATCTTCCTCTTATTAGGGTTTTCACAAGACGACAAACAGAGAGTCGTGGAGACCAAACACTTTTTAGGGTTTTCTGATGACGTCGTAGACAAGTATTGTTGAGTTTTCAATGCAGAAAAGAGAGGCATCTTCATTGCTTCTGATGCCGAGGATTGGACGTATTGTGGTAGTTTTTGGATCATTCTCGTTTTCGATTCTCCACCAGAACTATGAAGACGTCGTTGAGATTATATCTTGGACTCAATTTGAGACTGAAATATAAGATATATATAATATATTAGCCATTTTTGCCTTAACTTTTTTCAGGGTTTATTTTCCTGTTTAGTAAAGGAGATTCATTTGTTATCGAGAAAAAAGGAAATTGATTTATATTTTAGTTTCATACATTTATGTAAAAAGTACTTTTTTGTGTATTTTCAATTCTGCGTCTGAACTATGAAGCTGTTATTTTCCATATATATTAGGGTTTGGGTTTCCTTTGTAATGAGATGAGTCATAAGTGTGCGTCTTAGACTTTGGGTGTCAATTATCTCTATTTGCGGTGAATCAATGTGGGATACAGAGGAAAGTGTGCAAAGCACGTGAGAAGTGAATGTGGAGGTATGGAGGGATCTATAAATAGAGGTGGTTGCGTTGAGAAGAAGTTATGTTGAATGTGTGTGTGATGATCCAGTCGTTATGAGACTGTGAGGGGGTGAGATTAGAATCTGAGCGAGTGAGGGAAGATACTAATTCTCTTTTGTTCTTTGATTTTGGTGTTTGCTTGTTGAATTTGTGTTATTCATCGATACATTCTTTGTAGACCAACATCAATGCCTATACCAAACTGTGAAGCGTCAATTTTAGAATCAGATTGTAACTGAGATATAGTTTCCCACTTTATTCTTGTGTGTAGGTGCTTATATTTTCATTTGCACCCGCATTGGTGCGTTACCACACCAAAAAGAAGCTGTTTCATGCAACTTGAATCTTGTAGCATTCTCATTTTGCACATAAACCTTGACATGTGTGGTGGACTCACCATTCTCGAAAGTTCATACCTTTTGTTGGACTTAAAACTGACCATAACAAACGGGTTACGTTTAGAAACAGTTTTTAATTTCGCAGTCTTGTTTCGCTTCCAAACGCTTCTGCTCCAAGTGTGTAAGCAAAGAGTAACCCGTCAAAATCAAGGCCTGGTTGTGACTGTAACAGAGCACGATCATTGTTGGTATTTCCGGTTCGGTATTCTGGTTCGAGTTGATGATCTCCGGTTTGGTTTATCTGCAACTGCATCAAAGACTTGCTATTTTACCAGAACACATTCAAATATGTAATTTACCTAAGGGTAATTTTCAGGGCAGGGCATAAGACCATGTTTTATTTTCACGGTTTGGCAAAGTGAGCGTCACCTCTCACGTTTTGACAATTACGCCAAATTCTGACCAAAATACCCCTGCCAGCGTAACGATGTACTGTTCCGTGTACGGTTCAGTTACGCGGTTCAGTTATGTACAGTGTTTATCGTTGGGATCAGATATTTTCGTTTTTAATTATTTTTTGCGACTGTACAGTGAAAATGGGCCTTAATAACATTAAAAAACTATGTGACATCAAGATTAAATGCCCAAAAAGTTTAGACATGACTATTGCTCACTTTAATTAATGGAAACTCATCATTACCTCTTGTAATATTTGTTTATACGTACATGAATAATTTTAGGGAAGAGATAAACAAGAAAAAAAAATCAAACAAATTTATATGAACGAATGTGATGCTGGAGAAGTTTTGATTTTTGTTGTTTTACAAAGTTTGGAGACAAGAAAAACATTGATCGTGTAAGTAATGAAGTTGTTTAAGAAGTTTTTTTTATAACACATTTAGATATTGATTCTGTACGAAAACAACATTGTTTTTGATATAAAAATCTAGAAAATTTTATTTTATTTTTTTTGTTGCAAATGCTAAATGAGGATATACAGTAAAATCTCTATAAATTAATATTGTTAGGACTATGATATTTTATTAATTTATAATGATATTAATTTATCTATTTATTAATTTATAGTGTAAATGAAAATTTATTAATTTATAAAGAGATATGTTTTAATTCTTAAAATTTTAGAAAGAAATTAATTTATAAATTTTGTAGTTTTGGACTTGAAATTTTAATAGTTTGAAAAATTTTTTTTGAAAATTAATTAGACAATAAAATTACAAAGACTATAGATGAATTTATTTATACAAACGATATACATAATTTCAAATTTATGATTAATGACCTCAATTGTCATATTTTAACAGCTACTAGATCATGACCCGCACGTACGTGCCGAATTTCATATTTTAAGAAATGTATTGTAATAAAGTTTTAGTAAATATAGATTATTTTGTTGTTTTGTTGATATATATTGTAGTATATAAATTATAATGTACTGTATCAAACGTTGAACTTGGAAAAGAAAACTCAATGTGAATACGGTATAATTTAAATACTTAACTGAGGAACATAAATAAAGAGAACTTTTATAAAGAGTGTTTAGAATCAAACAGGATAAGAAAATAAGAAGAACCGGAAATTATGAATGAATATAATATTTATAGCACCAAACATGATAAACATCCATACGAAGTCAGTTTTATGTCTTGAATTCCTTACGATCAAATCTCTTGCTTTGGCCAATAGACAATAAAAATGAGAGATGAAAATGTGTTTAACAGATACAAAATTAAATATATGATAACATTTATGAAATATATTTTCTTTGAGAATGGATCAATATTCGACTTGTGATCTAGTGTTGACCCTAAAACCAAAAACCATAAATATATGCATAGGAGGTTAGTAAAATTAGGAGATAAACATCATAAGAACATGAAGTAATTTACTTTTAGATCTCCATCTACTGTTTAAATAATCGATTTTCTAGATTAACTGTGAGATAATCAATGTGGATGTATGCACAATGATATTTAAATTATATTTTAATGTTTTTTGACAAAGAAAATAATCAAATTTAGAAGAATGTATATTCCAAAAGCTTGTAACAATTTGATACAAAATAAAATAATTTATTTGATTTGAAATATATTAAACTTTTTTTTTGGTAAGTAATATATTAACTTATTTGGCTCTAAATAAAATAATTTGGAGATATAGTAACTAATATAATCCGTTTCAAAAATAGATTTTCTTTTATATAATTCAAATTTAGTTTAGTAATATATATTTAAAATATTGAAAACTACCCGTTTTAAAAATATATATTTTAATGTATACTGCAAATATTTTCTAGATATTTACATATCTAAAATCCAAAACTTATTTGTTGAATATGCTATACTTAAAAGGATGAAAGTATTTAGTTTAGATTATATATGATAAATATACTAAATGTTTTTTTAATATTTGGAAAATAAAATTTGAAATCTTTTATTTTTAATGTGATTTAATCAGAATTAATTAGCATAGTTTTGTTAAGAAAATCTTTTAAAATCTAAACTAAATAATAATTTGTAATTAAATTAGATTGTCGTTTCCAGAAATATCTAATAATATATTACCAAAATAAATAAGTTTACATATATATAATTTTGAATTAAATAGCTTGATTTATTATGAACCCTTCTTTAAACAATTTCCAAAAAGTGTGTACTTTTAAATTTTTTTGTTTTTTTTGTAGATATAATCATGTTTTGAGTTGCATTTAATGGGGTTCTGCTGAATTTATGATGCTGGTGGGTAATGGATATTCCCGTATTTACTACGGTAGGTGAGTGGAGATGCAAAGAAGAAGAATGGAAATTTGAACCAGAGGAAGACATCTTTGGTCGCTGTGTACATGTTAAGGAAAACATGACGTACACGGAATTTGTACGTACATTATGCGAGGTTTTTAGTGTGAAGTGTTTTCAAGAACAGAAAAGTCATAAAACAAACAATGTCTTATCTCGCAATCAAACAAAGCTTTTGCTACAAGCAACCTAGGTCATGTCCTACAAAATTGGAGATGGTTTGCGTTGATGATACTTGTCCATGACATTTGACAGCTCAAGTTGTCAAGAATTCAGAATGTTTCAAAATCACATCGTATGAATGGTAATTGTGTGCAATTTAGTATTGGAAGATCTGTTTTACCTAAATCAGAGTACGATTGTTGAATTAACCAATGTTGCAATTTAAGAATTTGTAAATATTACACGTACGTTGCCTCAACAATGGTACATACTGTAAAAGACGTACACGTCCATATACTCAAAGGCATCATTCTAATTTTGTACTCATCTTTAACATGGTTTCTTCTTCAGCAACTTTAATTTTATGGCCATTGTTCACAATTTTCTTATAATCTTTTGTTTTTTTTACATTTAATTTATTTATTGATTTTGTAAATCTAGTTTATATTAGCGTATTTGGAAGTCGAAAAACTAAAATACAAACTCTATAACTACTACGTACACCGTCTCCACAATAGTACACCGTCTCCACAATAGTACATAATCTAACTACATATCCATTTTATAATTCATACTGTGTATACCGTAAACTACATACACATAAATAGAAAAAACTCAAATAAGGACATATTTCTACCAAAAATATCTTACCAATTTCATACATGTTTTCTACGAACTCAATTAAAAAATATTAATAATTTGTTTTCAATAAATAAGTGAAACCAACTATGATCAACACACAAATTGACTCTAATGAGACTCACAAAACTCTAGTTCTGTTACGCAATTTACATAATCATATGTCAAATACGAGAAGCAGTAGAAATAAACCTCACAACTAAAGAAAAATATTGAGGAATAGTATGTTTTAACGTGACACAGAGCCGTGTGTGGTTTGAAAATCTTAAACACTTGTCAGTAGATGATTCGCTCTTCCATTTTATAAATATTTATTATTTTTATACTATTAGTTAAAATTCTTTTGTTTCTATCGTTTAAGACCCATTTTCATATTTTTATTTCTATTTTAAATAATATTTTATTTATTATCATCGAAGACTATTCACGATTAGCAATATCATATACACATATGTGCATAACGGTAATAATATATACGTACACGGTAGTAATGTGTAAGTACACGGTAGTAATGTGTACGTACACGGTAGTAATGTGTTCGTGTAGTAATGTGTGTGTATATATGTACGTAAATATCTAAATAATTTGTATATTTACGTTTCAAATATTTTTTGACCATAAAAACAAAACATTCAAATCATGTATGAATAACACATGAAAAAATACAGTCATACAAATAACTGACATAATAACTTAATTTTGATGTCAAAAAATTAAATTAATGTTGTACATAGTATAAATATTTTTGTGTACGTACATAGTATAAGACTTATGTGATTTAGGTATTTTTAGGATGTAATTGTTTGGAGAGGTCGTATACGTGTACGTGTATCTCAATATTATCGTGTACGTCTACGGGTTTAGTTTAAAATCTTATTAATTCTCAACAAATAATATCGTATAACATAACGCTTACTAAAAAATTTCAAAATAACAATTAAATAGAAATAACAACATCAAAACAAAAAAATATCATATATATCGTACTAAATACATAATATTTGGCTAACTCGCCGTATGCACCATCGTAGATACCAAACATTACAAAAATTTCTAAAAGGACCATAATTCTCTTCAACAGAACCACATATAATTTTATTGTAATATACCAAGTACTTGATCCTCTTGTGTTGATAGGTTCCCTTCTAAACAACACCAATGCGAATATTTTTTATTTATTCATAGTAGGGATCTAAGTGTAAATATTTTTATGTCATTTTGTCCAATCCGATAAGCAAAGTTTGAATATTATGTACATTGTGTGGGATCTTGTTGATGAAACTAACATTGGGTTAGAGATGAAAACACAACAAAAACCATATTTGAGGTACCAAATGTAGATGAAAACAATGAGGAAGTAGATGAGGAAGAAGAAGTCGAGGACGATAAAGAGGATGAAAAGAAAGAGATTGGGGATGACGAAGAGGGCGTTGAAGATGACGATTAAAAACGATAGTAAAGGTAGTAGCAAAAATTACATTACAATAGATGGACTGAATTTTTGTTGAGAAATATGGGATATGACATATCAGAGATGTTGGTGACACTCTATTTACCGTGGAGCTAATATGAAAATTCAGTTAATTAAAAGAATTGTGTACGTATACTAATGAATGTGTACGAGATTGAAAAATCATCGATAATTTTGGAGAGAATTATGACATTCAACCATTTGTGAGTCATAACCAAAAGGGAAGACATCATTTTTGGAAGAATTTGACGCAGTCGGAATCTCTAGGAATAGCAAACACTATGCCTAGATAGAAATCAAGTTCGCAAGCGTCGAACTTGAAGGGTTGAAACTCTGGAAATCCACCAGATTAGAGAAAAGCTCTTTGCTTTTATTAATTAGAATGATAAAACGTGTCTTGCAAATAACCTAGGATCTCTCTTTATATAGAGAAGAAACCAAAACATAAAATAGAAAACTCTAAGCAAAATAGAAACATGAAATAAGGAAATATCAAAAGAAAAGTAAAACTACTAATACTAAGTCCCTCCTACGTCAGTCTCCTCCACTTCTGAAGAACTTGTCCTCAAGTTCTCTTCTGGATAAAGGACTTCATCTGCATGATACTCATGAATGTCAGCCACATTAAAGGTATTGGAAATGTTCATCGATTCCGGGAGAGCCACAACATAACCATTATCATTGATCTTCCGTAACACCTTGAACGGACCATACTTGCGAGGCTTCAGCTTGTTGTACGTACCAACTGGAAATCTCTCTTTTCGAAGGAACACCATCACATCATCACCTTCTTTGAAAACTTTGAACCTCCGACGTTTATCAGCAGCGACCTTGTTCTTCATCCCGGTAGCCTCTAACTTAGCCTTGACAGCTTCCTTAACAGCTAAAATCTCTTCAGCCATAGTTTCAGCTGATGCACTTACTCCAGGAGCCTTTGGCAACTTAATCAAATCAACCACATGCTTAGGAACAGAAGTATGCACTAGAGAAAAAGGTGATTTCCCTGTCGCAGAATGTACAGCACTGTTGTAAGCAAATTCTACCTGAGGCAGAGCTAAATCCCATTGTTTTGGCTTGTCTCCACAAATACTCCGAATCATATTCCCCAAAGTTCTGTTGGTTACTTCAGTCTGTCCATCAGTTTGTGGATGAGCTGTAGAACTTCTATTTAAAGCTGTTCCGAACATCTTCCAAAGAGTAATCCAGAAATGACTGAGAAACTTTGTATCTCTATCTGAAGTAATCGATTTAGGAACCCCGTGAAGACGCACGATCTCTTTGAAAAATAGTTTAGCTATATTTGACGCATCAGCAGTCTTCTTGCAAGCAATAAAGTGAGTCATTTTAGAGAACCTGTCAACTACTACGAACACAGAATCCACACCTAGTTGCATACGGGGCAATCCCAACACAAAATCCATAGCCAAATCTTGCCAAATATCATCAGGAATAGGTAAAGGCATATAAAGACCGGTATTTTGAGACTGACCTTTAGAAACCTGAAAAATATAACACCTTTTGACAATAGTCCCTGCGTCTCTTCTTAGATGTGGCCAGTAATACCTTTCCTCCAAGCTAGCAATGGTCTTATCTCTACCCAAATGACCGCTAAGACCACCACCATGAAGATCCCGAATTAATTTCTCTCTTAAAGACGAGCAAGGAATACATAACCGATCACCTTTAAAAAGATAGTCCTCTCGAATGTGGAAATCTGCACAAGGACGCTTTCCACTACATTTGGCCCATAACTCCTTGAATTCAATATCACTCTCATACAATTCTTTCAAGAACTCAAATCCAACAATTTCATGTGCTAAGGTTGTTAGCAAAGAAGCTCTTCTACTTAAAGCATCCGCGACCTTGTTAAGAGTCCCTGATTTATGTTGTACAATAAAAGGGAATTTCTGCAGAAAACTTACCCATCGAGCATGCATCTTATTGATCACTTTCTGACTGTGTAAGAACTTCAAAGCCTGATGGTCGGTGAACAAGATAAACTCCCTCTGCACTAGATAGTGCTCCCACTGTCTTAGAGCTCTAAATACAACATAAAATTCTTGATCATATGTGCTCCACTTTTGGCGAGCTTCACTCAATTTCTCGCTGAAAAATGCAACCGGCCTCTTCTCTTGTGACAAAACAGCTCCTATGCCTACTCCACTAGCATCACATTCAAATTGAAACACCTTATCGAAGTCAGGTAATGCTAGAACGGGTGCAGTACAAAGCTTCTCTTTGATTAAGGCGAAGCTTTTCTCTTGCTCATAACCCCAGTAAAATTTACCTTTCTTCAAACACTCGGTAATAGGAGCAGTAATAGTACTGAAATCTCTGATGAATCTCCGGTAGAAAGTAGCTAGACCAGGAAAATTGCGTACTTCCGTAACCAAATGAGGTGTAGGCCAGTCCCTGATAGATCTCACTTTATCTTCATCAACTTGAATTCCATCCTCGCCAACGACAAATCCTAAAAATAGCAACTTGTTGGTGCTAAATACACACTTCTTCAAATTAACGAACAATTGGTTCTCTTGTAGAACTTGCAACACTTGCTTCACGTGCTCTAAGTGCTCCTCTTTGGTTTTACTGTATATCAAAATATCATCAAAATAAACTACCACAAAAGAACCTGTGAAGGGACGAAGAACCTGATTCATTAGCCTCATAAAATTACTAGGTGCATTTGATAACCCAAAAGGCATCACTAGCCATTCATACAATCCATCTGTACTTTTGAAAGCTGTCTTCCATTCATCTCCAGGTCTGATTCTGATATGATGATATCCACTACGAAGATCTATCTTCGAAAACACCTTAGAACCTGTTAATTCATCAAGCATATCTTCCAATCCAGGAATCGGAAACCTATACTTGATAGTTATCTTGTTAATAGCTCTACTATCAACACACATCCGCCATTGATTTCCTTTCTTAGGAACAAGAAGGACTGGAACTGCACATGGGCTCATACTTTCACGACTGAATCCTTTCTTCAATAAATCTTCAATCTGCTCTCTCAAGATCTCATTCTCCTTAGGACTCATACGGTAATGAGGAAGATTTGGTAAGCTAGACCCCGGAATCAGATCGATATGATGTTGAATATCTCGCATGGGAGGTAAATCATTCGGTAATTCATCTGCTATCAACTCCTTGAACTTTTCTAAAATCTCTAGCACATCTTCGGGAATTGCCACCTTTTCTTTCACAGCACTCATTAATCCTTTGATCACCACCGGACAGAAACAGTTAGTCTCTTTAAAGGATTCATCTAGCTCCTTTTCACTATGCGTCATCACCAAGAAACTAGACTTTTTCTTTACTGAATCCTTATGAAAGTGTAAAACAGGAGCCATTGCAATCTTGTGTACACCCCATGTAAACATCAACACGTTATCCCGTCCTCGATATGTAACATCATTATCATACTGCCAAGGTCGACCAAGTAAAATATGACAAACATCAATATCAAGAACATCACAAAGTACCTCTTCTTTATAGTGCTTCCCAATGGAGATAGGAACTTTGCAAGTTAGTGCTACTTGAGCTTGGGTACCCTTGGTAACCCAACCTAGAGCGTATGGCTTCTCATGTGGCTCTGTAGGTAGCTTAAAATGATCAACTAGCTTCTGCGAAACTAAATTCTCGGTACAACCATTATCCACAATCAGGTTACACACTTTGTCTCGAACAGTGCAGTGTGTTCGAAACAAATTCTTGTGTTGCCCCTCTTCTTTGGATGACAACAAGATTCTTTGTAGTACACAATTCACCCTTTCATGCGATTCTTCTTCAGCAAACTCAGCTCCTTCATACTCATTATCCTCTTGTTCACGTTCTTCTTCTTCCTCTAGGTAAGCTAGAGTTCTCCTGCTTGGACAAACATTTGATTTGTGACCTTGTTCTTGACAACGGTAACACTTGTCGATAGATGGTCTCGCATAATTATCACCTTGCCTCTGGATTGGTGTTTTACTCTGCTGAACATTATTAGAACCATTGTTAGAACTACCAGCTCCTTTGTTACCAAGATTAGCATCCTTTGACACTACACTCTTCTCCTTATCTCTGGTTAATTCAGAATTATTTTGGGATGAGTATCTTCTAAACGGAGTAAAATTACGAGGAGATTTTTCCATTAACTCAGCTTTCAAAGCTAGACTAGAAGCCTCTTGCACTGTCCATACAGTTTGCAAACCCATCTTCTCTTGTATAGAACTCTTTAACCCACTGATGTATCTTGCCACTTTCTGATTTTCTGTCTCTCCTAGGTCATTACGCTCAGAGAATCGCAAGAACTCCGCCGTAAACTCTGTCACGGTCCTCTTTCCTTGAACACATTCAATATACATCTTATAGAGAATCTGTTCGTAGTTCTCCGGTAAGAACCTTTCCATCATTGCCTCTTTGCTGGTTATCGTTGTTGTTAGTGTTTCTGATCTTAGTTGTCAAAATTGTCATCTAATTGGTCAAAGCAGTCAGAGCCGTGGTAATAGCCTCGGTAAAACCCTGTAAGTCTTCTTTGGTCAACGATTGATCTGCCATAGCTGATCAAGTTTTGAAAAGAGACAGGAGAAAGCCTGCTCTGATACCACTTGACGCAGTCGGAATCTCTAGGAATAGCAAACACTATGCCTAGATAGAAATCAAGTTCGCAAGCGTCGATCTTGAAGGGTTGAAACTCTGGAAATCCACCAGATTAGAGAAAAGCTCTTTGCTTTTATTAATTAGAATGATAAAGCGTGTCATGCAAATAACCTAGGATCTCTCTTTATATAGAGAAGAAACCAAAACATAAAATAGAAAACTCTAAGCAAAATAGAAACATGAAATAAGGAAATATCAAAAGAAAAGTAAAACTACTAATACTAAGTCCCTCCTACGTCAGAATTCGATGATTTAGTCAATGTCCGACTTGATGAAATAGAAGTATAAATTAGTATGACATGAGAGATATTGTAAGTTGTGAGTATGTTTAGAAACACTTATTTTTTTGCAAATAACAATGTCTTCATCTCCACTAGGACTATCGTAGAATATTGATTTATTATTATATCAATAAATATATCTCAATAATTTTAACTCATCAACAAAGATATACTTACACTATTATACATGTACGTACATAACATTTTTAAGAATGTAGGTATCGAGGATATTGGGCATCATGGAGAGTCGCAAAATCCTTCACGGAGGTAACAAGTTCATCATAGATAAAGTCATATAAATGATCCACTATGATGAACCAAGAATAACACATCTCCTTTATCGGAGAAACCTCTCGGAAACGAGTTCGTTTCCGGTCACCAAAAGAGCCATCTTTCACCGAATCCATGTGCGTTTGATCTGCCGCTAACGTCGCCTCAATTGAAAACTGGCTTGAGATACTTAGAACCTGATCCATGATCAACGTAAGTGCAAGCCATGCCGCAGCTATGGCCATCAAAAAGAGTAAAGGAAGGGTGCGTTGTAGTAACCGCCACAAAAACTCCAAATCAATCACCAAAACCATCTTATCGTTTGCCGACGTTTAAACATACATTATCGGAGACCAGCGTAATTCACTCTAGTGATGGAGAAAGAGCATCATAGATGAAAAGACATGATCGCCTTGCCTATCGCCTCAGAGAAGAATGGTTCTACAATTTATGTCTTTTTGATGCATGTGTTTTTCATAAATTTATGATGCATGTGTTTAATAGAGATTTCTATTTTTATTGTTGTTTGTGAGTGGAGATGCACATAATATAAATTAAAAATTGGTAGAAGAGAAAATAAATTTAGGTAGGTATGTACATATTAAAATATTAAAACATGTACGTGATAGAAAAATCATCGATAATTTTGGAGAGAATAGTGATATTTAACTATCTTTGAGTTCTAACTGTGAGGTAAGACATGATTTGAAAGAATGTACGTACATTACTGATTGTGTACACGAAGAAGCATATGAAGGTGAATATTTGACGTACACGAATACAAATGGGCATGGTAGAAGTGAAGTGAATGGTAATTGTGTGGAGTTTGGTTTGGAGGATCATGAAGGAGGATTTAACCTGAATCAGATTAGTGACCGTAAATGAGTCTTCCGAAGTATATAACGGCTTTTCTACATTGCTAAGTGGTGAGGCGGAGATACTCGATAATAATGATGCTCTAGTCTCCAGTGACTTAGCCAATGTCCAACTGATGAGACGGAAGTAGATATCAGTATAGTAGGAAAGACATTTCATGATATTAGTACAATAATTGGTTAGTGCGGTCATGTGCGTGTACGTATATCTCAATATTGCCGTGTACGTTTACGGGTTCAGTTTGAAATATTACATATTCTTTACCAACAATCTAGTGTAACATAATTAGAGTAGTGCTATATGAAAATGATAGGTAAATGCATATTATATTGAAGAAATTTTCTATAATAGACAAAAATTATTTATATTTTCTATGTTTTAAGATTGATTTTATTATATTTTATTTTTACGTTTATGTATACCAATAGAATATTGTGAAATGTTAGTCAAATTAACCAAGTTTTTTTAATTAAAAAATTTATTAATATTACACGTACACCGCCTCCACAATGGTACATAATTTAAGAAACATACACGTCCATAAAATCAATATTGCGTACACAAAAATTGTGTACACGTACATAGAAGAAATTCAGAGGGACAAAATATATAACTATGGTTTACTTTTTGTCTAAGTCGCAAATTGCGTACGTTAACAAAAAAAAAACTAAAGAAGAAAGCACACCTAGTACAAAAAATCAATTTCTTGAAAATTTTGCAGAATCTGGGTTTGCTATTGAAGAAAACAGAGAATTCTGAAATGATATGATCATACGAAAGATATACTTGAAATCAAAATTTTGAAAACGATTTATCCTGATTTAGGTTGGGCATCAAGTTTTTAACGAAGATTTAACTAAGATTACTACTTGCAGGAGAGACGATACTCCGTTCCGCCTCTCTGCAAATTTTGAAAAAAAAAAATAGATCTTTGAAAATGGTTTCGTAAGACTTGTGATTCGCGTACTAAAATCGATCGCATGAAAGTAAATTGACATTATGTTCTACTCGCCAAAGACGCAAATCGGAAATACGATAATCTAACATATTTACATGTCAACATAATCAATGATACGTACACTATAAATTGCATGTACGTACACTGAAAAAATTTAATGAAGGGTATAATTGTAATTTGGCAGGCGTCTTCAACCTCTGCATCCCTAATTTTGCAGCTGTTTTCAACAGTTATCTCAGAATTTTGTTTTCTTTATACATTTTGAATGTTTCTTACATGTAAATATTGTACATCTAGCATATTTTAAGTTCGAAAAACTAAAGAGTTTGAGTTTTGTTTAATTGTCCGGTGATTAAGTCGATTCCGTCGAAAGAACACTTGCTTTTTCACCATTTTCATCATTTTTCCAACTCGCCAGAAATCTCTTAATCTATTAACTCTAATCTCTCTACTTGATAATGAAGCAAAATCAATTATTTCACTACAAAATTTCAGATTTAAAATAAAATTTCTTTTGATTTTAGTATAAAGAGCAGCTCACCTTTGTACTTGGATTAATTCATTTCTTTCTCTTTAAATTCTGATTTTCTAAAAATTTTTATATGTTTAAGTAAAAAAAATATATAATCATTTTTTCTTTCATGTAGTTTGGTTGTAGAAGAGTTAAGAAAGGTAACCAAACAAGAATAGTTGTTCTCTATGGGTAATTTGGTCTCAAATAGCTCAATTGGCTATTCTGTGAAAGGTCAATTTCACTTTGCCAAACATGAGAACAAAACTCAAAATATTGTTTTACTTCAAAATAACTTTTTACGTAATATAGCAAGCGCAACACAACCTGTTTTTAAACAGTAAATTCTATAAAAAGAAACTCCTTTCCAAATGGGAGAATAATCTCTCGTAAATCCAGCCCAAAACAAGGCCCATCAGCCTTTTATGAAAATTAACACTCTCTTTTTTTTGTACAAAACTTTTATAATCGAAAATGTCCAAGTCCGATTTGACCGAATCAACTCTCCTCCACAAGGTAAATCTGATTCTCTACCTAAAACGATTTTCGAATTCGTTGATCTTGATTAAGATCTCTTTGTTTATTTGAAGAAACTCGCGAAAGTTGATTTCTTTTTGTTTGCTCGAGAATTTGATTCTGTGACTCTGATTCTTAATGTAGAATGTAAATTTTGGGTTGTTATCTATGAGAAATTTGGATTCTTTGAGTAGGAGGTTTTTGATTTTTAGTTCTGTAGCAGAAAAAAACCTTTGTCACCTGTCTGATTTAAGTCATTAACTCTTTGTCATTCAGGTGGAAGAACCCATTAGAGAAGGTTCATAAGAAGTGTCTGATGGAAGAAACCATAAGAGCAGCTTCACAAGAAGTTTCTGATGAATTCAAAACTCTTGTTAAAGCAGAAGATCTGAATTCTCTTAGACATTTGCAGCATCTCATGTATGTAAGCATTTCAAGTGTCTCATTTTCCTTGTGGTGAAACAACTGCTGAATTTTATTGGAGCTTTTTTTAGTTTAAGTTTCTCCCAAACTGATGAAAATCTGTTGGAATCTAATCTAATGAAGCATTTTAACATTGATCTCACCAATATGAGTTCTTAAAGAGACTAAAAGTAAGGGTTTGTTATACGGTTCATTGTTGCGGTTTCATCTTTTATTATCTTGCTGAGTTGGTTGATGTGAAGAACTTATTATGTTGATTGATACTTTGATGATTATTGATCAAAGCTTTTGTGCCTATGTCCTAGATTGGGGAGGTTACAGGATAGCAATGCAGTTCTCTCCCATTACAATGAATTTTCAGAGAATTGCTTCGCTGATGTATCATTGGAATTCGCTAGAAACACCCGTCTTTTGAAATCGATGAAAGCTGACCTCGATTACATCTTCTTGAAACTAAGGTATGCTCCTCCTGTTCTTGTATCCATTTCAGTGCACTTTAGATTCTTCTTATGTGGCTCAAGAATCCTCTCATGATTTAGGAGCATTAAAAGTAAGATTTTGGCTACATATCCAGACGCATTTCCAGATGATTCTACTAGCGATGCTTTTGATCGAAGACCCGATCTCGAGTTGCCTCAGTAAGCGTGTTTTGCTTTCCTACATAGGTTTCAAGTTACATCATGTGTACCTTTGTTGCCAAAACAGGTTTCATCATGTAAATTACTCGATGTGTTCTTACATTTCCTTAATATATTAAAAGAGTTAAGGGAGAAAGATATATTAATAATAACTTGTATAGAGATTAAGGGGTAGATTGTTTAACACTGTATGCTTTGAGTTTAAATTTTGGACCGTATATTTATATTACACCGTATGATTTGTATTACTCTTTTTTAGAAGTACCTTATTCATATACATTTAAAATTTTGACAGTAGATTTATATTAATATTATTAAGGAACACTTAAATCTTATTGCAAATAGTTTGGATTCCTTGAGTTGCTCTCTTAAAAAACACTTAAATCTTATTCTTAGGGAAAGATGAAGTGATCCAGTAGTCAACTTCTTGGACAAAGATGTTCGTCAATATCCAGACGGCTGCAAAAAGTACTAATGTAAAAAAGATTACGGTGTTGTAAAAAGGATTATGATTTTTTGACATTATTCAAAGGGTGAAATTTTAATATTTCTCATGTGCATCCCTTGACAGTTGACACCGTGGAAAATAAAAAATAAAGGAGTTCTACAAAAAAAAGTTTGATCATATACATCTTTTTTTTAGAATGTTATTTTGGACTAAAATACTTCTATTCTCTCTTTTAAGCATTTTTTGAATGATTTTACTAAAAAAAACATGTAGATATACAAGATTATAGATGTTTTGTAAAAAAAAATTAGTGATTTAGTTAAAAAAAAGTTTTTTTTTTTATGGATAAATTTTCGTCTAATATTATTAGAATACGTTTTCTAGTGTTCTACGAATATCAGAGTTTATATTTTAAATTTTTGTACATGTTCTACAAAAATCAGAGTTTTTATTCTAAATTTTTGTACAAATTCTACGACTTTTAGATTAGATTACGATATGAGGATGTTTAGAATACGTATTCACATTTTTTTGGATGAAAAAAAAAAATTGAAATCGTAAAACCCAAACAAATTAATTTTAGTAAACTGGAAAATTATGATGAAAGATAAATAAGTGCTGTATACACGATTAGTCTTAACGATATAAACATATGATTGTCAAGTTTCACACCAATATACACGTGAGCTAGAATTAAACGAATTATAAGATTGAATTCTTAGTTCTATACATAATTACACACCAATATGGCAATATACACGTGATTGTGTTATACGAACAAAAGAAGAAAAAGAAAAACAAAGGTTTTAACTCTTTATGGGCTGGTTTGGTATAAGTCAAACACCAAATTGGTTTGGTAAAAACAAAGGTTTTATGGTTTAGTTTTATCTGAATTATGTAAATAACTTAGGAAATAATTTTTTAAATTTTTTTTATTAATTACATATTCGAAAATGTGGGGGTAAATTTGGATTTTGATTTTTTTAAAAACCTATTTCACCAAACTTTTTATAGAAAAGTATATATAGACATTTATCCATTAAAATATCATTTATTTCTAATTTTCCCTTAAGTTTAAGTTATCTGATCTTTTTTATATGTACTAGGATTCATGACCTCCGCGATGGCGCGGGAGAAAATATTTCAAAAATCGTTAAAAAAAACATCAAACGAAAAGTCATAATAAATTGTAACAAATTTCAATTTTTTTAATAATAAATTAATATATATTTTACGAGAATTATGATAAAAAACCCCTCACAAACATTTATCAAGTATACTAGTATTAGAAAACACTAATTTGTAACAAAAAAAACTATTCTCACGGGGGGCTATGAAGAATATTCTTTCAAGAAGGATTGATTGTCAGGCGTTTGAAACAGATTGTTCAGAGTTAGTCTCGATGATACAGTCACCTGAAGAATAGCCCGCTTTCTCCAATCTACTAGATGATTTTGGATTGTTCCGTGTCTATTTTCCGTTCTTCTTGCTTTCTCTTATTTCTCGATTAGGTAATGTTAAGGCGGACTGTTTAGTCCGATCTTCTAGAATCTTATTTTCTGAAATTACTTTTGTAAACTCTTCTCCTCCTAATTGGGCAACCAATCCAGGAGTTATTTTATAATAAATATGTGGTTAAAAAAAAAAAACTATTTTCAGGTGCAAAAAACATCAAATAAATCAAAGGTTACAACAGTTTGATAAATAAGCTAAAATATTTATTGGTTCGTCAAATAAACATAATGCTACTATGTTAAATAAAACGGTAACAACAATTTATTTAAATATATTTTAATAACTAAATATTTTTAAAAAATTAGGATGAACTTTAACCGAGAATCGCGACCGTAGATATCAAATATACCAAAATTTGCAACGGTTCGTCAAATATACCAAATTTTGCAATGGTTCATCAAATATAATAAATATTACAATGGTTCATAAAACAAAACCGAAAGTTGCAATGATTCGTCAAATAACCAAATGTTGCAACAGTTCAATTAAACGGTTATAATCTCATTTTGAATACATTTTAGTAATTAAAAATTAAGAATTAAAAATAATAACTCATGAAAAGTTACACCGACGGTAGATGATTAAACGTTATAACGAAAATAAAATAAACTTAAAGTTGCAATTGTTCGTGAAATAAACTAAATATTGCCAAGGTTTAATTAAATGGTTGCAACCATTTTATTAAGAGTTACAATAAAAATATACAACCATATAAAATATTTACTCGCGATTGCAAGTTTCTCAAAAAACATATCGTAAAATATATTTTTTAGTTTTAAAAAATAAATGAAATGTTGTGATATACCAAAAGTTGCAATGGTTCGTCAAATTCGTCAAATAAACTAAAGATTACAACCGTTTGTAAAACAAAACCAAAATTTGCAATGATTCGTCAAATAAACCAAATATTGCAACGGTTCAATTAAACGGTTACAATCTCATTTAAATACATTTTGGTTATTAAAAATTAAAAATTAAAATAATAATTTATGAAAAGTTATGCTGAGAGACGCGACGGTATATAAGTTAATGTTATAGCGATTTATACAATAAACCAAAGGTTGCAATTGTTCGTGAAATAAACTAAATATATAAACCAAATATTGCAATGATTTGAATAAGCGGTTGCAACTGTTTATGAAGAGTTACAATAAAAAGACGCAATCGTAAAAGACATTCGGATTGCAATTTTTTTTTTTTAAACATAACCGTAAAATATATATTTTTAGAAAAAAATTAACGAAAAGTTACGATTAAAAGACACAACCGTTCACAAGTGCAAAATGCATTTATTGAGATTGTTATTATTATTAGATTAACTTGTTTAAAATCCAAGTCATTTTTTATTGTTTTTTTAATAAAAAATATCTGAATTGTTACGTACGGATAAATTTGGAGGCTACTCGAGTTGGGGTAAAATAGTCATTTACAATTACCTCGAAAATAATTAGTATGCGTACAGTAAATATTGTGGTGCATGTTTTTAAGTGATTTTATTTGGTTATGTATGTCACAAAGTGCATTTATTTTTTTGGTTAAACATTTTGTCAGAACTACATAGTTAAGCATGTCAAAACTAGAGGAATTTCATGATAGATGGCCTATATGGAGTGATTTTCGATACCATGTGAATGAGTATAATACACTAGGAAAAATCACGTGATAATTTGTGGCATCGCCAAAACAAGTTTTTAAATCTTTTAGAAGTAACGAACGGACCGTCAGACAAAAGTGAAGTCGATGGAGACCGAGAGGGAGTGTGGAGATCCATATACAGTGGCGGTCTAAGTGTTACAAAATGTTACTTCTAAATGGTGCATGGTGTAGTGTTTGAGGAATGAAGAGTAGATTAATATTTTTCTTCATTTTTTCTTGAGTAACATTTAAAATCTAATCTAAATGCATTTTACTTTCAAGAACACAACTAGGTTTTTTATATATTATAAGCAAACTATGATTTAAAAAAACATGACATGGAATTAACATGATCCACGACGTAGCGATGAGTTCTATCATCATAGCTCTTACATAAAAATTATAAAATCAATAATTACTTTGATAATATTTTGGACATCAACAAGTAGGATAAGGAATACCACAAAATTTTAAGATCGCACGAGCTTGCGGGGAAGTGACGTATTTATTAAAAACAGGATTCTTAATGAAATCACAAAAACATGGTTGTTGTGCTTTCATTTTCCCACAACATTGTGCTGTTGGTTTATCTCCGTAAAGTATCGCTGGTATACATCCTGTGATCTCAATTTTGTCGCAAGCTGGATTCACTGAATTGACCGGAGCCAGAAACGAAACGTGTACTACAATAAATGTGATGCAAGCTAGTGTTGTAAACTTCATATCTTGACTTTTTCTTCAATTCCAATGGTTTATTTTTCTGTGTTTATAGAGTTTGTTTCAGATTTTGATTTACTGTTTTTGTGAGAGTGAAATTATTAAATAAATATAGACGAGGATCTCAACTTGTAATTGAAATTAAAAGTATGAGATTGTGTAATGAATGTGTAGATTTTATCTCAATACTTTTTTCCAGTCAACAAAGTTAAATTAGAATATATCAAATAAGAAAGCAAAACATACAATGAAAGTCATTTAGATAATTTGTTATAATAGGCCTTTTTTTCTGTTAAAATACTATTTTAGTTTATGTGAATAATTGATATGAAAAGGAGATATATTTGATGATATTTTGCATAAATGATAATTTTTTGTAGAAAATTTAATTTTTGATATGAAAAATAATAAAATGCAAATGTTTGTGATCGTTTCTAAAAAGGTTCTTAAAACTAGGGATAATTAAGTAAACTATCTAACTCTTTACTAGATTATGTACCCGTGCGTTGCGCGAGATTTTAATATAAAACTTTTATAAATGTGAATTTTTGAGTATATATATAAGCATTTGAATTTTAAAAGATATTAGTTTTCTCATGTGCATTATCTTTCCAAATTAGTAAAACATTTCTCATACTTTTCACAATAATTTCTCTCGTTATCTTCTATGATTTACTCGTTGTCTCTCGAAATCTATTATCTATTCACTTTATATTGGCTCACATATAATATATTCGACTATGAATTAGTTCTTAAGATATATCATATGTATTTACTCTTTCCTATCTTTCAATACTCCATTCTTTTTTATAAGTTGCATAATCTTTTTTATTAAAGTAAATGATATATCATGGTTTTTACTGATTTTAACCATGATATTAGTTGTATTTCTAGAGTCTTTTTGGTCCTTTTTGCGTCTTTCATAGTCTTTGCAGGTACTTACAAGATTGGGCGAATTATAGAGCAAAAGCTGGACATTTGGAGCATTACGGCTAACAAGAGCAACTTGGAACGATCAGAGTGTCTTGGTGTCGACCGGCACCATCAACGTTTTCACTAAACGTTGCACGTTTTATCAAGTTTTGAAGAATTGCAGAATTGCCCTTATTTTCCTGTTTATTGCAAAAGAAGTCCCGACGTGTTTTAGACTATATTCTTAGTTTTTTTTTTTATCTTTGTAAGACAATTAAGCTTTATTTTTGGGAGAGATTTTGTATTAGTTTGGAGAGAATAATCAGA